AAAGAATGTGTTGATGAGAGAACAATGAGGGGCGTTCAATTATGCACTGATAATCCACAACTTTTTCATCGTATTCAAATCCCAAAAATAATCGAATTTTGGTCAACAAAACGTGATGAAAAGTAATCATTTGACTTGATTCTCTTCTATTTATTGTATTAATTGATTAAATACATTGTTTAATAATCGAATTTCATGGCTTTCAGTGCATAAAATCTCACCTTCAATAGCTCCACATTCGTATAAGGAATTTTTGTTTTTAACCACAGAACGGATATATTCATTCGAATGTTTCATTGGTGAAGTAATATAAGTTACAGCAGTGGAATGCTTTCGACTCTCGATCGATTAGCCTTTGAGGAACGACTCAATGCTGATGGAGGGAAGGACGTTTATGAGAATATCGTTCATGTATGGCGTTATTTCATTGTTAATTAAATTCATTTGAAGTGATTTTGCGTTTTGAACGTTGTTGGAGAATATGTTGATTGATGATTATTGGTGACATGCACAGTGATAACATACTAGTAATTATGTCACAGCAATTATTGTTGCGCTGATTGTCATTAATTCTATTTTCATCATCAGTATGCTGAATGTTACAGAATGCTCGTGATGTGTTGCGTAAAGGCATGGATAGTGCTCTGTTATGGCAGAGTCGACCTCAGCAATGCCATGAAATCGGTCATTCTAAAGCAACTTTTACTTTGGCTAAGTTCGTTGGTGCGAGTTCTGAAGAAATCAGTTCGATCACTGAACGGTAAATTTATAAGAGTGTGTCTTTTTGAATATGGAATTGCTGTTTACTGTTGTATGAATGAATTCGAAATATTTTGATGGAATGATTTATCAATTTAGCGTTGCTTTTGAGTCGATTTTCAAGTAGAAAACTGCTGGCGGAATGAGGTCAACAAATGAGATAATGTGTTAAAATTTAGGAGTTCATCTGTAAGTGGAGTTGTTCTGTGCTTTTGAGTTTCCAAATGTCAACAAAAACTATCATTTAAGTGAAATTAGGTTTGATTCTCATGAGCTAATTTCATATGTACTCGTTGCATTGTTTGCTGCAGATAAATTCCTATTAATGGAACAAATTTTTGTGATATCAATAGGAAGAACAATAATTTGGTTACAGATTGAACAATCAAAGAGTAATTGATAACAAATGGAGTGTGGAAGATGAACATCTCGAAGATGCTCAGCCCAAAACATCTGGAATAAAAGGAGTACCCAGTTTAAAGGTGATTCTTAAAGATCCAATCATTAGCACTTCGTTTTCTATTCAAATGATGACGTTTCCTTTGCTTTTTGGAATTCTTCATCAGTTTTCTTTTATGATCACTTTTCTGTCGATTTTAGGAACTTCGCGAGTTCTGATCGTAAGTAAAAATTTTTTCATAGGATGAAGATATTATGTAAACAAATCATTCGATGATCCTACTGATAAAGTTACAGAAACAGAGCCCACATCAGGTGATGAATACAAAAACAAATAAGATGAAACGTAAACGACCCGAGGCACCACCAGTGCTACGTATTGATTCCGCTAGTTTTGGATCGTTCTTCAAAAAACCGACGAAGGTTATAACTGTTATTATTATTGTAACATTGATTGTCATTCGCAGAAATTGTTTAAACAAACCATTGTGCTCAACGATGGACAACTTTTTCGGGAAGTGACGTGGATTGTGTATGGCGCAGTCGGTTATATTCTTTATAGAGACAGTCGGTTAGTAGATGCGAGACGAAATTTACGTGGAGGGAAGGAAATGAATGGTTGTGGGGGTGTTCAGTGACGGATTGAATGATCATAATTTCAGTTGAGTGCTGACAGTTTTGTGAATCGATTAGATGAGGCATCGAGTTATTCCATACGACAAAAACAAATGCTCAGTGTCATCGACAAGTTAAGAGATCTCATACGGATGTGAATTAATGTAAATATTTTCATACTGTTGTTTGTTTGTTGTTATTAGCAGAAGAACAAAATTTTACGTTCATTGTGATTAAACCGTCAATTTTAAAATCAATTGTCATGTTCAGCAGGACAGAATTGATAATGATACACAAAAATTGATTGACGAATCATTGTTAACGTCCTAAACAGTACACTAATCAGCCGACTTTGGCATGTTGAAATCA